TGTAATTAATGTTAAAGAGTTCGGTCTAGACCTGCTCTATTTGAAAAGTGTCCTGAGATAACTTCTGTTATGAATTGGCGCTATACAAATAAAATTGAATTGAATTGAATCATCCTGCTAGGAGTAGAACATAAAAGTATAAAACGTGATACTTCCTGTTGCCACTAGGTGGCGCTCTGACTATTACCGAATATCATCACATAGACATGTTCAGGGCGAGACTCTTATCGAACATGTGAAGTTTCGTTGCAGTCGGATCATGTACGCAGAAGTTATGACGAATCACTCTTTCATGGCGAAGGTTTGAAATTGGATGCCACGGGATGCCACGCCACGGGCACAATGTTGGACGAAAAAAACTGACTGCACTTACCAATTTTGAAGTAGATCCAATAAAACCTGTAGGAGGAGTTAGTTAAAATAGAAGCCCTGAAATGCCAAAAATGACATCACAGTGTGACATTCGTTCAAATGGCCAACTTTGAAGGCACGCCACGGACACGCTCTTCAACGTACAGTCAATAATAGCACAACTTGTAATCAGCAACATTATTCAAGAGTACTGTAAAGTTTTGAAGCAGATCTGATAAATTCCATAGGAGTTTGTTTGTTCAAATACAAGACCACGGACTTCAAAATGGCCAAATTTGACGGCATGCCACGGACACGCCCTTTACAGCGTTCATTCAGCACCATTTTGTGACTGTACTGACCAATTTTGAAGCAGATCCCAGAAATTCCCTAGGACGAGTTTGTTCAAATGCAAGGCGAAAAAGTCAAAATGACCACAAAATGATGAGAATTAAAAATTGAAATATCAGACTTCCAGTGGGTTTCTGGGCATGGGTCCAAGAGGCTTTTCTGCTTCTTTTATCATGATACACATGCGTAGCAATTGTCGTACATGTGGGCCTTACATGTCTTGGGGGCTGATTCTGGGGGGCGTCGCCCGTGCACAGGGACAATGTCATATCAATATTTTTGCTACGTTTGAATTTTGTGCAAATCTTCATTCCATTTTGAGAATGTTGCGGGGGCCAAATGTGCGGTTGAACTTCCAAAGGTATAATAATAATAATTCCAAGAGGAACAATAGGGTCTTGCACTTTCAGTGCTCGATCCCTAATTAAAGCTGCAAGCAGCGATGAACGGGCCCTTGCACCCCTTGCCAGTCGGGGCCTGTGGCACGTAAATTTCGTGTAAATCAAACAATGTTCATTTCACAAGGCTTATTTCCTGTTGCCAGTAGGTGGCGCATCGACTACGGTCCTGAACTGTCATGCATGCATCTCTCCTCAGGCCGAGACTCTCTTCAAAAAATTTCATGTAAATCAGATGATGTTTGTGATACAAGGTTTACTTTCTCTGGCCAGTAGGTGGCACAATAACGGTGACTCTTTATTGCCATGTAGATGTGTTTGTGCCAGGTCCCTTATCAACCATGTGAAATTTCATGTAAGTCGGATGATGTTTGTTTCACAAGATTTACTTCCTGTGGCCAGTAGGTGGCGCAATAACTGTGAACCCTAAATTGCATATGGATGTGTCCAGGCAGGGGCTCTTATCAAACGTGAAGTTCGGGTCAGATTCAACCATGTACAGTGGAGTTAAAGCAACTTGATGTTTTGTGGTGAGACAAATTCGCCACACCACCACGGCCAAACTATTTGACTGAGGATAAAACTTTGATCATATTATCATATGATAATGATAATGATAATAATAATAATGATAATAATAATAATAATAATGAAGAAGAAGAGAATAAAAAAGAAAAGAAAATGTGTCCTCAATGGGGAGAGACAGCCAGCCCAAAAAAGGGCACCGGCACCCCCGAAGGGGATTTCCGGGGGGGGGTGAGAAGGCGCGGCATATTTCCCCGTTTTTTTGGGATTAAAGTAGTAAAAAAAGGAGGCGGCGGCCCCCCCGCCGGTTGGAAAAGAAGTTACAGGGGGGGGAGGGGGAGAAGCCGCCGCCGCCGCGGGGAAACACAAGAAAAGCTACCGCAACCTTTTCCGTTTAAAAGAAAAAAAAAAAGGGAAAAAAAAAAAAAAAAAAAAAAAAAATAATTTTTTTAAAAAAAAAAAAAAAAAAAAAAAAAAATAAAAAATTAAAAATTTAAAAAATTAAAATTTTTATATTTTTTTGCATTTTTTTCTCAAGGTTTCTTTGATTTTTACAATATTTGATTTATATTACAGTCTGTTATGTTGCAGTGCTGAGGAAAGAAATTGGTGGTAGCCTATGTTTTTTTTTATTTAAAATGCAATGTGAAATGACAAAATACTTTACTCACTCAATTAAAAGGTTGCAGTTTAAAGCATGATTACATGAGGGGAACAATATTTAGGCTATAGGCCTACACTTGGCCAAGCACCTGCCACTGTTTGTGGCAATTGCCACTGACCCCCTGTGGCAGCTGTCCCTTTCTTTAAACAAGTTGTTGTAACACATGACCTATCAAAAATTGTTGACTTCTAACCCTAAACATTTATAGCTTACTATATGTGATATTTATATGTATCTGTGCATCACAGGATTCTAATTTAAAACCATGTACAAAGGTCTTGGTATGAATGAATAGGCTGTATTTACGAACAAAACTCTTTAATATAACATAACATAAAACTACATCACTGCTCCTCAAATCTTACGAAAAGTTTGTAATTTTTTTTATCAATAAGTTCTCCACAGAACTTGTCGTAATCCTTTTTTTGTGTGAAGACAAATGAGAAAAGTTCTGCTGGAGAACCCTCATCCAGGTCCCCATCCCAGGTTTCCAACTCCTGGAGGGCTTCTTTTCTTTCCTCTTTGTCCATGGAAAGGACAGCAGGGAGTTTCAGCACTCCATCGAATGTCGCCGTACGGCACCAGTCAGCTGCAGCAAGGCTGCCTTGGATGAGAATGTTTTCCTGCAGTAAATTATTATTGATCATTAATGTTGTTCTCAAGTAAAGATTTCAGACTTATAGAGCATTTACAGTACATTTGAAAGAAACATTAAAAAAATTGTACCAACATATGCTGTCTTTATCAACACTGTGGGTTCCATCTAAAACCCCTCTAAACTAAATTTCAGTATACATTCACAATTGTCTTAATTGTACATGTAAATAAAAAAAAAAAGAAATGGTAATGCAACAAATCTGTATCTAGAGCATCTTCAATACACTTCATTAAGTACCACTGTCATTGTGTCCTGGGAGTGCAAAAAAGCTTCCTTATGTCACAGTAAGCGATGCTGTATTGTATGGTCAAGCAACCTTCAACCTTCATAGGATTTTGATTGTGTGAAAGGCTAAATGACATTCATATGGGTGTTTATGTTTACTACTTTAGTATTCATCAGAGACCCTACAATGTATTCATTTTCATTTTCTGTTTTTGTATTTAACAAATTACTTTCTTGCTTAACTATATTTATATATATATTTATATTCAGCTTCATTGTTATTTGTTTGTTTTACATGTAAGCATTGCATATTTAATAATTAATCAGTGACAATAAATAGAAGTTTATCGAAGCTTCGAGGGTCATAATTTCAAATTTATGAACTTCTGAGTTGTGATGCTTGTGAATGTGCTGTACGGCTTCCACCATCAAGAATCGCCTTTGAGCTACTCAAATGTGCTGAGATGCAAAAGCCATAAAACCAAAACAACTTTGTTGCTGGAGTTAATACGTAGATTGCGTTAACTAATACTTTCAGCAGAATAGAAACAGTGTCTGCCTCTCTGGCTGCAACACATACACACTTATTAATATATTACAGATTGCCAATTTTGACAAGATAGCTGTCCTGAGTTAAATACATTTTTGTGGGAAACGGTTTGGGTTTTACCTCTTCTGTGCTGTCTGTTTTATCAGCTGTCTTCCTTGCACTGGGGGCTCTGGGAAAAAAGGAAATCATCTGTAAATGCGATTGATCTGAAACATCACCTGCTAATTCACTAAATGCCACAACAAGCATTATGCATTCAGTGATGTTTCATATCGACATGCACACCAACATCGGAAAGAACGTCCTGTAGCCTACCCTTTCTTTTCCTTTGAAGGTGTGGTGGTTACAAGCACAGATTCCGCTTGGTACCGACACATGTTGCTGTTGCCTTGCAACCACTGAATCAACACCTACAAGAAATAAAATAATTTTTAATAATAAGCATGTCAGGAATTATCAGCTTCAATCCCATAAAAGTATTTAGTCTTGTACACTGTACATTTATGTTCTCATTAATTAATAGTCATACTTAAGTACTTCAGTTTCGATTTTAACATTTTGCTAGTTGTGGTATGTGTTCTCTAAATTATCCAAAGTCCAGTGACACTTGTCCTATGGCATTACTTACTCAGTAATTAGTTTTCTTCTAAATGTAGTTATATTATTCGTTAACATTACATATCCTCATTAGTTTACCTCTGGCAAAACGACCTCTGTTATGTAGAGCTGCTTCTCAGCTACAGTTCCAGGTACTGTCAGGATTTTTGCCAGTCTCTGGATAATCTCGTCCGTCTGTGGTAATAAGTAAGTAAGAAGCATGGAAACACTTTACAGGGGATATTAAGGGGTTAACAAAGAAAATTGTTAAATTGTGCACAGTCAAGGCAACATTTTAATTATTCATTACTCCCTTTCCCTCCTCCTCTGCCTAAAAGTACTGTAATGTATTTGATAAGTAATGCCAATCCTTCCCTGTCCACCAGCATCTGACTAAAAGGTTTCCTCCCAAAAAATGACAGGATGTTAGTTTCAAAATCAAAATAGTTCCTGTGCTCTGTTACTACAGCTTTCTTTGTCATGATGTCCTTATATAGGTTTATTATAGGCAGTCTAAATTTGGGCTTTCAAATACAATTAGTTAATATGCTAAACATGTGCATTGGGATATGGAATATATGTCTAAACATCCGTGACTTCAATATATTTTTCAGTCACATACTATTGTGATTGCGAGGAGTTGTGTCCACCAATAAGACCAAGAGAGAACAGTCTACATACCTTTATGTCACTGAATAAAGTGACATGTTCGCTGTAATGCTTTTTAAGGGCAGGATCAAATCCTCTGTGTTTCCACAGATACATTCTGTTGGACAGAACATGCCCACTCAGCAGGTTTTTCTCCAGATCCTATAATAGTATAATAAGTATTTTTAGATGTTGATTCAGTTTTTACCAGCCTTGTTAAAGTTTTGAATGCCACCTCATAGTAAAAACCTTGTACATGTCACTTCAGAGCAATGTATGTTTTTACCAAAATTTCTTCGTCTGTCTGAAAGTCTTCTACTTTAACAGCCTCCAGGATGTCGTTTCTGTTTAAGACAAAAGCATTGCAGAAATTGGCGCAGTGTTTTTACATCTTTTCATTTCAAAACATTGACCTTAGAATAGATATAGATAAAATGTTACACTGGATTTAAAGGACATGTAACTAGCAAACAGGCTGCTGATATGTGGGGAAAGGCTAAGAATATTTTTTGTCTTATTGTGTATATCTTTGTAATTATTAATAATGTCATACATTTATTTATGTTTACTTATGTAGTTGTTCATTCATTTCATACATTTTCAATATTTGTCTTTCATATTTAATGTAAAAAAAGACAAACTATATTTATCAAAAACAACTGTAAGAGTTATCAATTTGGTTTCAATGGCAACCATTGGTCGGACGTGTATGAGGTTATTCTTACATATCTGGGATGTTGTTGCATCCACAAAAGAAGTCCTTGGACGTCCAGTCTCCTTTTACACCAGCACACTCGAAATGCAGCCAGTTTTTGCAATATGAGCATTGTACCCATTGGTATTTCTTGATGTGGTTATGGAAAACACTGGTAGAAAACAGGATTGTGAGAACGTTATCAATATTCCACAGTACCTTAAAACAGGTATTTCCATGTAATCAGTAGTGGCTTAAATATAACGGACCTTGTCAACTATGTTGTGTCTGAAGTTTTGAGTTGTCATTTGTGTTGTACATACTTGGTTGTCCCTGTTGCTCGCTGGAACAAACATGACTTGGTTTTCCAAGCCTGGCAATGGCTGCTGGAGTCTGTTTTTTTGGCTTCCGATTGCTGTAGTTTAATTTCCTTTTCTTCCATTTTTAAGTTGTCTTCTGCAGTAAGTGGGAAGTCCTGTGTAACAAAAAACTTTGCTCTAACCAGAGCCCTTTTCTTTTTAACAGTATACTGTATATTGTCACATAATAAAACATCAATTACTCCTACCTCAGCATTGACATTTTTTATCATTCTGGTAGCATGATGCAGCCGCAGAGTCCTGCACTGGTTGAGAGTCAGAGCCTCTGTACTGACCGCAACATGTTGCATTTCATTTTCAGCTGCCTAGTTGGGAACAAAACAATTTTCTTTTATGAACCCACAGATGTCACTTGCACTGGACAGGAAGACAAGCAGCACACAGAACAGGCAACTCACAGAACACACGAAAACTCCACAATTAACCGAGTCCTGCTGCTTCCACTGTGGAGGATATGTCACACTCCATCCTTGAAGACCGCCCGAAAATCTGAAGACATTTCTACCAAAAAAGCAGCAATATTTTTTTAGCATATTGTCACATTACCTTTCCAATACCTGGAAAAAATTATATTTTATGTTACTCTCCCTTTACCTGAGGAGGTCCATGTCTTTGTCACTTATGTTTGAATACAGACCAAGTGAATCGTAGACACGAATGTCTTTGGCGCTGAAGTCAAACACCTACAAGGAAACACATCAGTTTATACAACCTTCCAACATATATGACAAAGTTGTAACACAAATGTTGAAATATATATTAAATATAGGTCATGATGTACGTATATTTCAGCATCTCTTAATGTAGGCTGCTGCACAAGATCACTTCTGTACAGAAAGTCTTACAGATATATCCAGTTCTATAAAAGTCAAATCAGAGAATAAAACCTTGCATTTATGGTGGCTCACCCAAAGAATAAAATGGTTCCCTGTCTCCGGAGAGGAATGACCCACAATCCTGGGCAGGAAGATTTTGTCAGAGACCTGTAGCACAAAAAAATACCTCAGATAGTACAACAAAGTCCATATGAAAAGCAGATGTGTTTTGTTAATATATACATTGTATTAGGAAAAAAGTCACAAAAAGGACGTACAGGGATGTGTTTCACAAATTTGTCTTCGACAGCTCCAGTGCTTGTCCATTCCCGGTGCCACAAAATAAAATCAAAGTGACCCAAAGAACCACACTACAACAAAAAATTTAGCATTAGTTTTTAGTTTAGGCATTAGAAATCCATAAAGTCAGACAGTCAAAACATATTACCATGTTTTCTTGAGCCAGCTGTGCTATGCGATAGTTGACAGCCTGGAATTGAATAAATAAGTTGAAATACAAGTCCTTTTGTTTTTTTTTAAGTAAATGATAAACCCTGCACTTCATTACAGATGTTACTTCCAAAACTAAATTATCTATCTACACTTACATCATCTGTCAGCCATGGCATAGCCAGTGAAGAGTCTGCCAACAACTCGAGTGGGCAAACACTGCGCATGTCCTTAATTGACACAGGATATCTTCTTGTGGAATGAGTCAGGGCTTGATTTTCATCTCGAGATCCACATAATAACTTCTTCAGTTTTTCCTGAATACAAACATAATGACAAAGTAATAACTGTTACTACCATTGATTCATAGACAGATGTAAGAGTAAAGGAAAATGGCACAGAGATTTATTACTTACCTTGTCCTTATCGTCAACATCATACAATTGTGCCAAGAAGGAAGACTTCACAATGCTGTCAGGTTGTATATTGACATTTCCAACCTTCCCCTCTATAAAACAAGAGACAAGAACGAAATTGGAATTTCAGAAAAAATGGGCTACTTTGTTACACCGTTTATGTTTCACCAGTTTGTGCCACAGCAAAAAGAACATGTTACAAGTCGTACTTTACAGCACTGTGTTATTTTAACATTTCTACAACTTCAAACTTCTTATCAATTTTAATATCTTAAATATCTGAGCATGTAGTAACAAAACTTACCAGCAGACTGCAGTCCCAGCATCCCATGCAGGCCAATGGACAACTTCATGTTGCACAAGGCCTCCATTTCTGCCTTAAAGCTCCTGTTAATCTTTTCATTGTGAAGATCAATTAACACCCTTACTGTCTGCTTAAAATGTGGCTCATTCATTTGGCACAATGAATATCTCACAGAAGCAAGTTCACGATTGAACTGCTCTGCAACAGATGAGTTCACTTCTGTTCTTAGGGTGGGGCAGATGTTGAGGCTTCGCAACTTCTCTTCTGGGCGTTTTTGGTTTTTTTGGTGGAATCTGTCGTACAAGGAGTACCTTTCACATGTCCCAGTGATTGGATGTCTTGCTTGCAGTCTGTCGTTATCAGGGTTTTCTTGTGATGGGAATGGGGACCTTAGGTTCTTTACCCACTGCATGTCTACTTTTAATTCCTTCTTGGCTGCCAGTTTCAGGTTATCAGAGGTCGGTGCACAGAGTCTTCCATCATGTGGTTGGAAAAAAAGTTGTTTTGTGCGATTGTTTGTATGGCGGGCAACCTGTCCAGCTACATCAGAGATGAAACAGGTGGGAAAGTGCTTAAAACTCAGTAGACCGTCCGTGTGGTCTCTTGCTGACTCAGTCCAGAACAGAAAGTTCAGGTAGTATACCACCCCATGTACGCAAGAAAAATGAAGGACTCCACCTAAAGAATACAAATAAAAATTATACAGCATAATAATGTTATGTTATGGTAGATACTAAATAAATAAATCATATACCAAGGTATTTCTCACCACCAGCTTTCTGTAACTTCAGGAAAAGCTTTGGGTAGATATCCTTGAAGTTTAGCAGTTCCTCAAGCCTGTTCATCATGTCTGCAATGGACCCCTCTGAAGACACACCAAGGGCATTACAAGCATCCTGGAGTTCCTTTTTTTGCGTCTGTAAATTTAAAAGACCCATTGAAATTACATGAAACACACATTATATCATGTAACATCTTGTATCAAACCAACACTCATAAATATGGGATGAACAACAAAATTATATGTACTGCCATGCATATGTAGTCAAAGTTTACTGACAAACCAGCAATATATAAGCACAACGTATACCTTCTTTGACTCAATGATTTCGAGTATTATGTCTTCATTTATCTTTTTTGCCGGAGGCTTGATGTCGTCTGGTTTTCTTTTGAGTGCCTTTTTCACCTCAGTTTTTGGCAGGATATTTCCAACCCTGGTGTTCTCTCCCATCCATGGTGCCAAAGTGGAGTGGCCAGGAGTGGTGGAGTATGGGTTTGCCACAGATGTTCCTTTTAGTAAACCAAGTAACATCGTAAATGCCTTTGGTCAAGGATGTTGTTAGTGTAGCATATGTTGTATAAGGTTTATACCATTGTGGTTGAATTTTTATCAATTTTACAAATTCTTGGTAATATATAGCAGTGTCACTTTGTTTTACTAACCTGATATGAGGCCTTCTGCTATTAATGACCGATCCAGATCTGTCCAGGCCTTTACAATATCCACTTGTAAGTCTTTGTCCGAAATAGTATCTGGATCAGGCCTTTTGAATGTCTCAACTGCAAATGGAGTTTTTCAACACAATCAGCTATCAGAATCTTCATCATTCATTTAATGTTACAATGTATGAATTACAGACATCAAAACAATTCTTACGTGGGACATCAAAGGCCAGTTTCCAGTTAGCATCTGCTACTACCACAGCTGGATGGTGTCCACACTGGTAGCAGGAGAAGTCAAACTGAAAATTTGTCAATGACATGAAGTGGTGGAAAGCTCGCCGCACTATTTGGTGGTGGTACCGATTGTCATTAAAGAAAGATATAGTGTCCAGCATGCGACCAGTCGTTGTCTTGTTCTGTAATCAAACAACATAGTAAAGTGAAGTTCTTGGTAAAGTTATTGATTTACAAAGGTGGACATGCTAAAAGGTTTCATGATACATAATTGCTTGTGTATCATGCAAAGCATTTATTGATGCCTTACCGCCAGACCAGACAGCAGAAGCTCACATAATGGCAATGTTAAAAGGACACGGTTGTTGAAGTTATGGAACCCAGAATGATATTCCTGAAACCTCACAACATTGCCACATGTTGGGCAGTCTTTTACAGCAACAGAGACACCTGATAATGAAAACATCTGTTCAAAATTTGTTCGATCTATATTAGGACTATGTCAACACCAATCCAATTTTTCACTGTTAAAGCTGTTATAGAAAAGACATATGAATGTGATATCATGATGAATACATCATTTCAAAGTATTGACTTACTTGAGTACTGACGTAATTGACTTACCCTTTTTGACATAGTTCATCCCGTACACCATAGCTTGAGTCGTTACAACTTTGGCTGCATTAAGTGCTGGAGGGGTGGGCCCTGGACAGTAGGGGCAGGTGTTTTCAGACGGGACAAAACATGGTGGTGGTTGTTTCTCCTGAGACCTGAGCTCCACAGGTAACTCTTGCAGGCATGGGATGCGCTTTTGCCTTAAAAGATATTCCGTCATTGCACAAATTCTTTGACTGTTCACATTGTGTGGCTCACAAGCGATGCTGCTTTCAACAATGTGACTTTCCAAGTCATCTATGTCATGTACGTGGATATCTGAAGTGGCCAGCAATGTACCTGGGGACTCCTGGTAAATCCACCACATTCCCATCATACGATGGATACAACGGTGAGATTGTCCAGTTCCACGACACTGACAGTTCCACTGTCCTGCCACTGCATCAAATGTCACTCTCGTCCTCCCAAACTGACACCAGTTGTCTGTTTCATTAGTGAATACCG